TCTATGACCTCTAACGACCCCTGAATCTTTGGCAGGTTAATAAGGTAATTCCGTAAGCTCTCCATTGGACAGAATAGAATAAGTATCGATTTCAAGAAAGCTTTCGATTCAGTTCCTCCCAACCTTTTGTTTTCCAAGTTAGAGACGTTCGGGATTTCGGGTTCACTTCTCAGATTCTTGGTATCTTTTTTATCCTCGAGGAAACAAGCAGTACTTATTAATGATGCGCTATCAGATCCCTATCCAACACCCAGCGGCGTGCCGCAGGGCACATGCCTTGGACCCCCTAATGTTTTTAATATACATAAATGACCTTCCACGTTTCTTGCCTAAGGGAATAAGTTGTACTATGTATGCGGATGATGTAAAGCTGTTTTCTATCGATGACCCAAAAATACTGCAACGCTCTTTAGATGCCTTATGGCAGTGGTCTGTCACTTGGGGCTTGGAAATATCTGCTGAAAAAACCTATGTGCTGAAATTAGGGCCTAACCCCAACGACATAGACTTCACTCTCAATGAGATCAGAATTGAGGAGCCTTCGTTAGTCAGGGATCTCGGTATAAAGTATGACAAGGCTCTTTCTTTTGAAGACTATATAAAAAGCTCTATCCATCTAGCCAAAGCACGTTCGAATTTTATTTTGCGCGCGTTTTCTATTAGGCACACAAGAACGCTCTTCCTGCTCTTTACGGCTTATGTTAGACCGCTTTTGGAGTACTGTTCGCCAATTTGGTCACCATCTACTCGCTGCTTAGTAGATGAGATAGAGCAAGTACAGAGAAAGTTCACCGAGAGAATATTCGCGCGAGCGGGCATGTTCCATATCACATATGAAGATCGCCTCAGATACCTTAGCTCCACAACACTTGAGATGAGAAGGAAGGTTATAGACTTCGATGTGCTATACAAGCTTTCTAGAGGGGATGTTGACGTGGACTTCGACGAGCTGTTTAGGAGATCTTTAACTATAGGCGTGACGCGGGGACATTGCTTCAAGCTACTGAGGGAGAAGGCTCGTTTAGATATGTACAAATATAGCTTCACGCAGAGAGTCATATCTTTTTGGAACAGCCTACCAGCCGATGTAGTTAGCTCAATGTCATCGAGATCTTTTAAGAATAAGGTCAATAAGATTCTTACAAGGGAGGTCGTTCAGGCCGTGGTGAGCTTTTTCAAAACGGTTTGTTGCATGTTGTAGGGGTCCATGCGAGGACCATAGCGATGGGGTTCATTTTTGCTAAACGGTTCTGGGAATGTCAAAAAAAGGTCAAAAACAATTCGAAAAGAATGGGCTTTTTAAACCACCTTATTCGCCTCTGTTCTAGCTGTAGCGTTGACAGGGTATAGTATGTAGGGTATCCTTTGAGCAGGCATGAAAAACAGCGCAAAATAAGGTCAAAATCCAAATGGTCTACTTGGCATGCGGTGAGCTGCATTGGAGTTTTCCGGTCATCTGCGCATATCTCTTCAACAGGTCCTGTATCTCTAGTGTCGCAGTGGCAGATGGTGTGGTGGATAGTGCGACGGGCTCTCGGTCGGTGGGTATGGATCGGATCCCCTTGCCGACACAATTTTTGCATTTCTTTCTTGCTTCTTGTATTCCTGTATGCCCCATAATGTGTATGACCCGGATATACGCCATTTGAAGGCACATTCCATGCGGGAACGGTTCACAAATAGGCCTCACTCAATTATTACGCTCGCGAAATACTATCGAAAAACTCTTCATGAAACTTGGGTTACGGCGGTTATCCGATGCTCTGATCATGAACACGACACTCATTTTTGAATATGGCGCAATGTGTCGCTAATTTGGTGCAAAGGCTTTCTCGTACTACCATCATTGTCAGTCTGCGCGGCGGGGCTATTTAGCGCCATACTGGCCCCAGATGGCCTCCGCGGCAAAAATAAGTATCTGAACCGTGATCAGGACCATCAATTACCCCTACGTATAGAGTTACGCCGAGAAAAATTTTCCCGAGCTTTTTGTGTTATGTTGCCGGCCATGTCTCCAGCTAGTGGCTATCAGCCCCCCCCCCCCCCCAAGGAGTCGTTATCCAACATCGTTAAGAGGAAGCTTTTCATTTGCTAGTATGCAGACGCAGAATTAAAAACTACACAAAAAAGTGACGCACACTGCACTCCTCTCATACCTTTGATATGAGAAACAAAAACCTTTCTCCGGGCAAGTGGTAACGAGTTCTTTGTCGAAAGCATAGACGGTAAAAGTGAAGAAAGATCCAGGATGCTCGTTTAGTGGCTCCGAAGCTAGCACGATGTTCTATGAAGACCTACTGAAGTTGAGGGGCAAGAAATGAAAAATTTCTGGCGGTTCGTCTGCCAGAGAGGATACTTAACGGAGGGTTCGCCTGTCACTGCCATCCAAGGGGTCAGGTCCATGACCACTAAAGAAACTCGAAAAAAATTTTTTTCGCTGAAACCTCTTAAACAGGGGTAATCAA